CCCGCCGCGCCCCTGCGCTCCTCCCCACGGCAGCCCCTCCCTCCGTCCCTCCCGCGGGAGCCAGAGGCCTCTTGCCCGTGCCCCAGCCCCACCTGGAAAGAGAACCAGAGAAAGGAGTCAGTGTCCCAGGAGCCCCTCCCCGCTCGCCCTCCAAGCCCGCCACTGTTGGAACCCTAGAAAGGAGAGAGAAGCCAGCAGGTGGGGCCCTGTGTCTGAAGGAGAGAAAGGGGAGTGGGAGGAGAGAATGTGAGCTACTGCGAGGTGGGCGTTCCTCTGTCACAGGAAAAGAAAATAAATATCCATCTGTTAAGAGACCTTGAGGATTAGTGGAAAATCACTGCTCTGAGACTTGACTCCCCCAAACCCCAATCTACACACAGGACTGCGGATGTCTGATCTGCCTAATTCCACTCCCTACCAGGGCTGACCACTGGCTGTGAGCACAGGGCTGTCTCCGTGCCTGTTCCAAGCACCGCCCCATCTGGGTGGGTCAGACAGCCTCTCCTATTTACCCCCTCTCTCCAGGGGGCAGCTCCTCCCGTGTTCCAACCTGCAGGCTTCCCCCAGGACTCCAGCCCCCCAGGGCCCTGTCTTCCCAGGGCCACCATTGCACAGCAAGGCCCCAGCAGGTGCTTTACCACACACCCTGCCAAGGTGCATTCAGAGGAGCCTGGGAACCCTAGACATGGGCTCCCAAGGAAGGGGCTGCTACACAAAGAAACCGGGCCCTTCGCTAAGCCCTGGCCAGCCATACCTGTGTTGGCCCTGACAGAAGCCGGGTAGCTTACTGCCCGGCCCCGCTCTGCCGTGACGGTCACTACATATTCCACGCCTGGCATCAGGTCGGTCAGCACCGTCCTGTCCGCCTCAGAGGGCACCTCCAGCCGCACCCTCTGGTTGCCGGCGCTGACATAGGACACCACGAACTGGTCCACCTCAGCCTGGGGTCGCAGCCAGCTGAGCTCCAGTGTGGTTGGTGTCACAGCCGCCACTCGGAGGTCTTGTGGGCCATCGATCACTAGCCAGGTTAGAGAGAAGAGGGATCAGGTGGGAGTCTGGTCCTTCAGTCACCAGCTTTCCCTCTAAGAGCTTTGTCCCCACCCCACCCCTCACTTCTGCCTTCCCAGCCACCCCCCTCAAATCCAGCTCTCCAACCAGGACCCTGCCCACAGCCCCAGCTCTCACTGGTGGTGATGGTCTTGGAGGCAGAAGGGCCCCAGCTAGTCCCTCGAAGGGCGCGGACCGTGACCTGGTACTCCTGCCCAGGCGCCAGTCCTCTCTGGTCATAGGCTGAGGCAGAGCTGGGTACCCGTGCTGTGAATGGGGGGCTCACCCCCTCTGTCTGCAAGAAAGAGAGCACCAAGTGGATCAGGGCTGGTGCTCTCACCCCTGCTGCTCAGTCTCCCTTATCTCTTCTTTCTCCAGTTCCAGGCACTGTCCACATGGAACTGTGTAGAGCTTGGAGTACGGCTGGAGGGTATGGCTGGTAATCTAAGAGGTTTAGTCTGTACCAGACGCCGGTCAAGGCAACTTACATAAATGAACTCACTTAATCCTCAAAAGAACCTTAGGAGGGAGGTCGTGTTATTCCCATTGGACAGATGAAGAAACCGAGGCACAAGGTCACCAACACCAAGAATGGGGCAGGGATTCCAACCCCCCAGGTAGTGTGACCTCACAGCCCCCTCTCACAGGAACTACCTTTTTAGCTGGTTCATCAGCTATCTGTCAGAATCTACCCAGCACACGGCAGGATCCTCCCTCTGGCTTTCCCCAGGCAACCCTGCCTACCCCGCCTCCCAAGCTCACTCCTGTCATAAGAGATGAAGTAACTGAGGGACGCACCTTCCCAGTCTCACTTCCTCCTTACAGCATCTGCCCCAGCCTAAGCCTCCCCACAGACACCTGCCCCTGGCTGGGTAATGTGGCTGTGACCCTTGTCTTGACGTTTCCCTTTAGGCACTCTTCTTGTCTCCCGAGCACGGCTGTAGGCCCCTCAAAAACAAAGCCTATCTGCTCTAAGCTTCACAAAGATGTTTCCCAGTTTCGTACCTGGCATCATGCTGGGCATGATGAAAGATATGTCTCCTGTCCTCAGCTCATGTTCTAGTAGCTAAATGTATGGCCACATCTTAAGGTGGATTGGATCCCTACCCAAATCTCTGTGCCATACGTGCCTGCGAGCAAACAACCTCCCTCCAAGTACACATTGAAGGTATTATGATTATCCGTGGTGACCCCACAGGAAATATGCCAGCCTCGGCAGGGTCTCCTTGGAGGGCCGGCCACTGGGGAAACAGGAGGAATGGACATCTGTGAGCAGTCTAACTGCCCCGAATTTCACTGGCCTGTCTAGCTAGGACAGATAATAAGGACGCTCTGTTCTGCTTAGCTATGTTGGCTGTGATGGGGACACCTCCATTCAGCCAAATAGGATTGGAAATTTCAAAAGGTACTCTCCTAAACCAAGAAAATTGTGGGGAAATCAACACAGTAAATACCAAAGTATAAAACCAGATGAGAGGCCACGTGGAGATTTCTGGGTTGAGGATGAAATAAAGCTTTGTCAGAGTTTTGTTGGCCAAAAAGTGTTCCTGGGCACACAGGCCCTCTCTTCCTCTCCTACTCACCCCGCCCGAGGATACTCCAGCCTAGGAGCCCTTGGGTGGGCCTCAGCTGAAGGCCTGTGAAGTCTTCATTCTTGCCAGAACTTTCTCTTTCCCTAATCCCCCCAACCCAATCCGACACACATACACACCTCCCCAACTCCCCCCACCCCCCCCACACACCCCTTGGGTGCTCCCTGATGACGTCTGGTCCTTCTAGTGAGACAAGCCCATCTTGAGTTCCCCTTCTCCCTTCAGACCACCTACGTGAGCCTTTTAGACACCTCTTACTCCCTCCTAAGACCCATTTGGGAACAGTCCCCTCAAAGTCCCACATCTCTCATCTGTCTGGTCTGAGACAGGCTCTCTAGGCCGATGCTGGCACCCCTTGCTGATTGCTCGGCTGCTTCACTGATTGTCCTTGGCGAGTTTCTAACCCTGTTCTCCATACCAACCTCATGGTTCCGGCCGGGGTGGGGGCGGGGGGCGCCATCTTGGTTGGGCCCTGGAGCTTACCTCCCCAACCTCCCCCTTTCAGACCAGACCCAAACACAAACTTTTCTAAGGCCACGAGGTCTTGTGTCCCAGTGAAAACATGGCATAGCTCAGGTTCTAGGCTGCAGAATACGCCCGGACAAAGAGTGCCTGACCCTCCTCCTCTTCAAGGGCTCACCTCCCTCAGTTACTTCTTGCTTCCTCTCATATCCAGAGAGGAACCAGCCTTTTGCAAAATAACAACATTCCTTGAGTTAGTGGTCATCAGGCTTGGGGTACAACAGAATCCCCTGGAGGGCTTGTTATAGCTCAGGTTACTGGACTCCAGCTGCAGAGTTCCTAATTCAGTAGATCTGGGGCTGGAGTCTGACAGTCTGCCTGTGTAACAAGCTTCCAGGTGATGCTCATGCTGCAGGTCCAGGGAATACAGTTTGAGAACCACTGAGTCAGAGTAGCAATGCCATGTATACAGGGAGAAGGAGGAATGTTCCTCTTCCATGTTCTGAGGATCATTCCAGTGACTAGGTGTGTCCCTTTGCCAGGAACAGCAGAGGGCTGGGCTTTGAGACAGAAGTGCTTCTGGAAAAGGGAAGGGGGTAAGGGGGAGATAGGCTTCTAAGAAGATGGCAGTGCCAGAGGCCAGCCAGCTACCGGTATACTCTGTGCCAAGCAGGGATGGACAGAGAGCGCTGGCCAGGGCAGGGGCGCAGCCACGGAAAGCTTAGAAAGCAGTTGGAGGGCCAGTAGCACAGGCTAATGTGCAGTCCAAGAGAGGTGTCCGGGGACCAATTTTACAGGAGCCTTTTCCACACCCGGGTTCAAAGAGAACCCAGAATGTGACAGAGGCTCATACCCAGAGATGAGCTGAGCCGGGTACAGGCCAGCTCGACCCCACCTGGCCCCTGGTGAGGGAGGAAGCCTAGAGCTTCAGCTGGGAAGACCCACATCTTGAAAACACCCAAAGATGGGCTCATATTTACTAAGAGCAGAGGACCACGCTGCCTTGCAAGCTCTTTCTATCTCAAGTGTTTATTTTAATTCTTCTTTCCCTGAAGTTCTTAGGGAAGTTCCTTTTAAAAGTCCCATCCTCTCAAGATCAGAACTATGTCAATAACATACACACAGAAGAAGAGAGTGGGAGAAACACTTAAAAATGTTAACAGTGCTTGTTTTAGTGCGAAGCAGCCAAGAATTATTTGTTTTTTTCTCTAGTTGCCAAATTCCTGTCTTGTGATTAAATTATTTTTATAACAAAAAACAATTTTTTTTTCTTTTAAACAGAAGGAAAAAACCCAAGCTATATGGGTTGTGCTGCAAAGTAGGAATTTCTGCCTCTGCTTCCCCCAGCCAGTGAGGAGAGACAGAGCCTGGTAGGGGTCTGGTCTTGGGGCTCTAATAAGAAGACTTAGAATGACCAGGCCAATTAGGGTGGGGATGGCAGCCAGCACCTCTGAGCTGTCCCTTCTGTTCTAGAGCCCTCCTAGGGTTTAGGCCCTGGGACTTATTTATTTTTCCAGAGTTTTGGAGATTAGGGTAAATGGCCTATTCACCCAGGGTGCTTGCACGAAGATGCAGGAAGACATGAGTTAGACAGTAGAAATGTCAAATGGTTTGGAGCTGGGAGGCCAAACATCATAAAAGCCCAATCTGCATAAAAGGGGGTCTCTAGTGAGAGGCCACAAGGTTTTGTCCTTCGGGTGCCCCAAATATTTTAAGGGCGAGTTGGGAGGAAACAGAAAGAATGCTTTGCAGCGCACTGATGACACGGAGGCGGGAGAACCAGTTCACAGACTCAAATTATTGCAGCAGCCTAGACAGCTTGGCCCAAACCAAAAAAGATAACACTGAACAGAGCCACATGCAAAGGCCTATATTTAGGCTAAAAAAGTGTATATAGTTGAATGTCATCTTTTTTCCTTCTTTCTCTTTTCCTTGTTTACATTTTCTAAAGTTTCTATACTGAGCCAACATGACTTTTATAATAAAAGTTACTTTAAAAACAAACATGATCAAAACAGTTGACAGGGGCGCCTGGGTCGTTAAGCGTCTGCCTTCGGCTCAGGTCATGATCCCAGGGTCCTGGGATCGAGCCCCACATTGGGCTCCCTGCTTGGCAAAGCCTGCTTCTCCCTCTCCCACTCCCCCTGCTTGTGTTCCCTCTCTCGCTGTGTCTCTCTCTCTGTCAAATAAATAAATAAAATCTTTAAAAAAAAACAAAACAAAACAGTTGACAGTTTTTGTGACCACAAGTTAATATACATCAGTTCTGAGAAAATTGCCGGGCTATCCAGAGTTAGCCAGGAGAACTACAGGACTCCTCCCTGCCTTCACATTTTGGGGGCAAATGCAAAAAGCATGAGGCACTAGAGGAGGTATCCCAGGAAGTGAAGAATTCAGAGAACAAAGCCTTAGGGAAAAGGGGTGAAGAAACCAGGGGGTTTGGCCTGGAGAGAATGAAGAGTGCGGTGATGGCCGATGTCTCCAAATACCTGAAAGCCTGTGGTGGAAGCTGTGGGGAAACCAAAGGCAACATGCTGACGCTGGGCAAACGGATGGATGTAGAATGGGGCAGATTTAGGTTCAGCAACAACAGAAAGAACTACTGGTGATGACCAACAATGGATTGGACAGCCTCAGGAAGTCCTGAGCTCACTGTCACCAGAGGTAGTCCCAGCAGCAGTGACCTGAGGCTGCAGAGGCCTTCTGGACCCAGTGTGGGGTAGGATGAGAAGGCCTTTATGGCAGCTTCAGGAACCTAGCCAGTGTGGACTCAACCACTGACTACCCGGAACTCCCTGCTTGAGGTGAGCACTCCCTCCCGCAGGTCGCGCCCCCTCAGCCCCCTCCTGCAGCTTAGCTCTCACCGTGGGAATGAACTGAATTTCATAGGCATCCACCGTGCCAGGAGCCCGGGTCCACTCTGTCCGAACCGTTGTCTCCTCCAAGAGGTGCATCCTCATGCTCTCAATGGCTGGCACCTCTGCCCAGGAGAATGAGATATGGGAAGGTGGTTAGTCCGAGGCAGCCCCCCACCCCCTACCTCTATCATCAAAGGCCCCCCTACTCAGAGCCACACCATAAGATCAATCCCAGTTCCTGCTCCTCTCTGGAGGTGGTGCAAAACTGGCAGAGGCCTGAACAGGCCCTGGGGGCTCCTTCACCTTCCCTCCCCCATCTCCAGAAACACAGAATCTCCCTAAAAGCAACTAAAGGAGCCGCCAACCTGCTCATCAGAAATCTGAAAGCGGGGCCTGCCTGCAAGCATGCCCCCCGTGGTTCTGCTGCCTCTGGTGGACACTGGCCCTCGGCTCCTATGACTGCCCCCCCTCCCCATCCCCCTGCCCAATAATTGACCTCCTTCACTCTTCCCCCAGGTCCCTGGGCTCCTAGGCCTCAGGCTCAGGCCTTCCCACTGGCTCTGGTTCCCAGTCCCTGACCCTGCGTGCTCACCTTCCCCGCAGTCTTCCCCTGCATAACCATCTTGACAGACGCAGCTGCCCTCACGACACTCTCCCCTGCCACGGCAGTCCCCAGGGCACGTCTGAGTGGCGCAGTCGGGTCCTCGAAAGCCCTCCACGCATACACACTGGCCCGCGCGGCACAGTTCCCGGGGCCCACAGCCGCCAGGGCAGGCACTGGCGGGAGGCTCTTCCCGCCCACAGTCCTCGCCGCCGTAGCCCACGTGGCACACGCACACGCCGTGCACACAGCGCCCGTGTCCGCGGCAGTCGGCCGGGCAGGTGCGGGTGGCGCAGGAGGGGCCGGTGTAGCCTGAGTCGCACACGCAGCGCCCACCCTCACAGCGGCCGCGCTGGTGGCAGTTGGAGGGGCAGGTACGGAGGCCGCAGTCCTCGCCTGCGTAGCCCTCCCAACAGGTGCACACGCCGTCCTGGCACACGCCGTGCTGGCTGCAGTCTAGCGGGCACCGCCTTGCGCTGCAGTCCTCGCCCGAGTAGCCATCGTCACACACGCAGCGCCCGTCCCGGCATTGGCCGCGCCCGTGGCAACCTCCCGGGCAGCTGCGCGCGCCACAGTCCTCTCCCTCGTAGCCCGCGTTGCACACGCACACGCCATCCTCGCAGCGCCCGCGCCCGCGGCAGTCCCCAGGGCACCGACGGCTCCCGCAGTCCTCGCCCGCGAAGCCGGGGTTGCACACGCAGCGGCCGTCCACGCAGCGCCCGCGCCCACGACAGTCGCCAGGGCAGGCGCGCGTGCCGCAGTCCCGGCCTGTGTACCCGGGCCAACACAGGCAGCGACCACTCTCGCAACGGCCCCGGCCGCGACAGTCCCCGGGGCAGCTGCGCACGCCGCAGTCCTCGCCGCTGTAGCCCGCGTTGCACACGCACACGCCGTTCTCGCAGCGCCCGCGGCCCCGACAGTCGCGGGGGCAGGCGCGCGAGCCGCAGTCGGGCCCCGTGTACCCGGGCCAGCACACGCAGCGCCCGTCCTCACAGCGGCCCCTCTGGTTGCAGTCGCCTGGGCAGCTGCGCACTCCGCAATCGTCCCCGCTGTAGCCTGCGTCGCAGATGCACTCGCCTTCCTCGCAGCGCCCGCGGCCCCGGCAGTCTCGCGGGCACGTGCGGGTGCTGCAGTCGTCGCCCGCGTACCCGGGCCAGCACACGCAACGGCCGTCCACGCAGCGCCCGCCCTCGCCACAGTCCCACCGGCAGCTCCGCGAGCCGCAGTCGTCGCCCGTGTAGCCGGGGTCGCACACGCAGCGCCCGTCCTCGCAGCGCCCCCTCTGGCTGCAGCCCCGGGGGCAGCTCCTCACCCCGCAGTCGTCTCCCGCGTAGCCGGGGTCGCACACGCAGCGCCCGTTCTCGCAGCGCCCCCTCTGGCTGCAACCTCTAGGGCAGCTCCTCACCCCGCAGTCGTCGCCCGCGTAGCCCGGGTCGCACACGCAGCGCCCGTCCTCGCAGCGCCCCCTCTGGCTGCAGCCCCGGGGGCAGGAGCGCTGGCTGCAGTCGTCGCCGGAGAAGCCCGCCCGGCACACGCACACGCCCTGCACGCAGCGCCCACGGCCGTTGCAGTCCCCGGGGCAGGAGGGCCAGCCACAGCTGGGGCCGCTGTAACCAGGGAAGCACACGCAGCGCCCACGGACACAGCGACCCTGATCGTTGCAGTCATCTGGGCAGGCCCTGGAGGCTGAGGGTGGGGAGGATGGGGGCACCCCAGCGCCTGTGGGGTCTGAGCAGGTGGGCCCACCCCAGCCTGGCTCGCAGGAGCAGGCACAGCGGCTCAGGTCAAACACACCATGGAGACTGCAGAGGCTACGAACATCCGTCTGGCCTGGAGTAAGAGGGAGAGGCAGGACTCAGTCTCTGCGGAGGGATACCAAGCCCATAGGGTGCTCCCCTCCGTCCGCCCCTCCAGCAGGGCCAGGCTCATTTCATAAGGTCATCTTTGTTTCCAGGTACTCCTAGTCAATATATGTGGTCTGCGAAGGCCCTAGCATATACTTGGGGACAGGGGAGGGAAGTGCTGACACCTAGTCTGGTGGCTTCTCTCTCTGAGTTGTGCCCTGGGCTGCACTCACCACCCCCAAAGGGGAAGAAGAGATGCCTTTTTCTAATTCAGACCAAGGTCCTTTATGGACTAGTGATGCCCACCTTCCTCTTTTTCTGTGCCCCCTCTCCTGATCATCTGTCTGCTCACCTGTGCCAGCCTGGGCAGCAGCAGGACAACATCCCCCAGTGCACTGTTCCTTCAGCCCCTTCACCAGCTCCTCCAGGATCTCTAACCGGACCTTCAAGGCCTGCACCTCTGAAGCAGGAATGGGGGGCTCCGTGCCCGGGGGACAACCACAGCCAGCTGAAGGGGGCAGGTTGATGCGGTGGGTAAAAACTACCTGCTTCTCCCCTCCTTCCACAGTGTGCTCATAAAGCTGAGAAGAGGGGCTTCCCCCTATTGGCTCCACTGTGTGGCCCCCCGGCTGGGGAGGGGGACGTGGGGCTGGGAGTGTCACATTGGACCGTGGAGAGAAAGGGCCTGCTCTGACTGTGCCCAGCAGTACCAAGAGGGCCAGTCTGGAGATTAGGAACCATTGGGCTGGCATCACTCAGGAGGCTGCAGGGAGAGAGGGCACATGTGAGCAGGTTCACAGAGAAGGAGACAAGATAGCTCCCCACCTCCCCCAATATACACACCCACAGTCCCATCACCCACAACTAATCTACCAACTCACATGCATGGGAAACTCCACATTCAGCCCAACCCTAAGGGATAGCTTCCTTGGGCCGATTTGGTCTCTACCTTTCTTTCTTTCTTTTTTTTTATTATGTTATGTTAATCACCATACATTACATCATTAGTTTTTGATGTAGTGTTCCATGATTCATTATTTGTGTATAACACCCAGTGCTCCATGCAGAACGTGCCCTCTTTAGTACCCATCACCGGGCTAACCCATCCTCCCACCTCCCTCCCCTCTAGAACCCTCAGTTTGTTTTTCAGAGTCCATCGTCTCTCATGGTTCATCTCCCCCTCCGATTCCCCCCTTCATTTTACCCCTCCTGCTATCTTCTTCTACTTCTTCTTTTTTTTTAACATATAATGTATTATTTGCTTTCTGATGTCATTTGATTACCCAGCTCCCTGCCCCTTCTTTTTCTTCTTTATTGGTCCACCCACACTGGTCTTTTGTTTGTTCTACAGATACTACAAGCTTACATTAGTCTAAGAGCCTTTTAGCTGTACATTCTTTCTGTCTGGGATGCTCTTCAAGACTGGCTCCTTCTTGGTTCAAATCCTACCACATGTCTTGCATCCCAAGACCTTCCCTGGTGCCCCGTTGGAGTGGGCTTCCATTGCTCTCCAAGGCAGTGTCCTACCTATGTTCTTCATGGCATTTACTGCTGCCTGAATCACCTGTTCCTGTGGGTACTTGTCTGTTACCTGTCTCCCACTACTAACGTGGGAACTCCATGAGAACAGGGACCTCGTCTGTCCTGGCACTGCTATACGCCTGTGGCTGACACATGGGGGCTCCCCGACACATTCTCGTTGAATGGATTAGCGGATGAGTGTACAAGGCCAATCCTTCCACAAGCACCTGGAACCCAGCTCCTATTATCTTCTTAGGTGAAGATTATCCTCTCCCCCCCTTTTATTCAATCCCTCACTCTCCGCAAAATCCTTCCTGTCAGCTTTTTTTTTTTTAAAGATTTTATTTATTTATTTGAGAGAGAGAGAATGAGAGAGAGCACATAAGAGGGGGGAGGGTCAGAGGGAGAAGCAGACTCCCTGCCGAGCAGGGAGCCCGATGCGGGACTCGATCCAGGGACTCCAGGATCATGACCTGAGCCGAAGGCAGTCGCCCAACCAACTGAGCCACCCAGGCGCCCTCCTGTCAGCTTTTATAGGAGCTCAAGTATCTCCTGTCGTTTGAGAATATCCTTCCACCTCAGTACTTACATTACCAAATAACAAAACTGATAAAGGTGCAAGGATAGATAGATAGAACAGAAGAGTGTCCAGATACATGACCACATATAAAGGCGGCACTGCAATTAAAAAGAGAATGGATGCTCTTTTTGATAAATGAGGAAAGATCCAGATGGAAAAAAAATCTATCTCTCCCTTATGTCCACATACAGAAATTAATTTGAAGTGAATCTAATGGACCTAATTACGAAAGGTAAAGCAGTATCTTTCAGAACAATACTGTATAAATGAAAAATAGGAGAAAATTTTTACAACCTTAGAGCAAAGATTTCTTAAAACCTAACAACATAAATTTTTTTTAATTTAAAATGTTTTATTTATTTATTCATGAGAGTCAGAGAGAGAGAGAGAGAGAGGCAGAGGCAGAGGCAGAGGGAGAAGCAGGCTCCCCGCCTAGCAGGGAGCCCGATGCAGGACTCGATCCTAGGGCCCTGGGGTCATGACCTGAGCCGAAGGCAGACGCTTACCCATCTGAGCCACCTGGGCGCACCTAACCACATAAAATTTAACCATAAAATATTTCACACAAAACTTAACCATAAAAAAAGAGATGGATACATTAGGACTCATTAAATTGATCACTTCTGGTCATCCAGAGACACCATTTAGAGAATAAGAATAAAAGCCATACACTGGGGGGCGGGGGGGGGGAAGCCATACACTGGGATAAAATATATGAGAAATGACAAGAGGTAGCAGGGGTGGGAGAGAGAGTGAGAGATATTGAGAGTGAGTGAGAGGATCAAAATCTAAAATAAGAAACCCCTGCAAAACAAAAACAACAAACAAAAACAAGACAGGCAACCCAGTGTTTTAAATTGACAAAAGTCTTAAACCAGTACTCCAGAAAAGAATATATCCAAAGGACCAATAAACAGATGGAAAACAAACATATATATGGGTGTGTAACAAAACTAGTAACCAGAGAAATGCAAATTAAAACCACAACAAAATACCATTATATAGCCATCAGAATGGCTAAAATTAAAGGGGTTGTTGTTACTTGATATTGACAAGAATGTGAAGCAACTAGAACTCTCATCGACTGCAAGCAGGAGCATAAATTAGTGCACCCGCTTTGGAAAACTGTTGGGCAGTATTTACAAAGACACAGAGCCTATAACCCAGCAATTCCACTTCTTGGTAAATATCCAACAGAAATGACTGCATATATTCTCCAAAAGATATGTACAAGAATGTTCATGAGATTTTCTTCATATCAGCCAAATGAAACAAGTTCCATTAATAGAACAGATAAACAAATTGCGGCACAATCATACAATGAAACACAGCAATGAAAACACCCTCTTGCTGCATGTAACAACATAGACAATTTCACACACATAATGCTAGCAAAAGAAACCAGATACAAAAAGAGAACTTTGTGAATGATGCTATTTACATGAGTTTCAAAAACAGGCAGAGTTACTCTTTACTATTAGAAGACACATAGGATTACTGGAAATATTTTGTACTTTGATCTGGGTGGTGGTTAAACAGATGTATACATATTCAAAGATTAACTTAGCTATACACTTTAGATTTGTGTATTTCATAAATTGAAATTTTTATCTTAAAAAAACAACAACAGGGCGCCTGGTGGCTCAGTCAGGCATCCAACTCTTTTTTTTTTTTTTT